AACCCAGGGGTGGCAGTCTCCCCTTCCCCACACCAGAAGCCTGAGCCTCAGACTCTGGGTTTCCCCGCCTTGATCCAGGGCCTGGGTTAACTGACTGTTTATTTGCTGCTTGGCCTGCACACAGGCCTGAGCCCCAGACTTTTTGTTGTCCTGCCTTGATCCAAGGCTGGGGCCAATTGACTGTTTGTTTCCTGCCCAGCCTGAGCCCAGGCCTGAGCCCCAGCTGTGAGCAGAGACCGCTTCATTCCCCATGGCCGCCGACGTATCAGTGACGTAGTAAGGCGGGGTGGCCTCCCGAGGACCCAGAGTGGGAGGGTCCCTGCACTGAGCCACTACACGTCCATGTAAGGGAGCAAAGAACTGGGACTCAGCTTTTTGTTCTAATTATTTCTAGATTCTAATTATTGAAACTTTCATTTGGGATTAGAAAATCAGATACAACTGAGTAAAAATTTACCCCAAATTAGAACGGAACCAAGGTTTGAATATGTTGGGTTAATGTTTCACTTACTTTCCAACACACCTTTTCACTTCTTGGCTTTGGCCAGGAGCAGAAGCAGAGGTGCACTAATATTGAAAGGAAACTGTTCTCTCGTTGTTTACAGCTAAAATATCATAAGAAAGGAAATCAAAATGTCTGGCAATGCTGGGAGCCCACTCTTTCAAGAATTCTGGCCTTATTTTGAACAAAGGAGATGGATATCAGCTTCAGATAACCACTTATCTGACCTGAACAAATTTCTGAACCATTGAAATGCATCCATTACAAAGCTACTCAGCTATAACTTAGTATCATAAATTGGCCAAGGAGAATTTCAGACACAAGAAGGAATGTCCCTTGCCAGAATCCAATAAAATGCCTAAGGTCTGTTTTATAGTACAACATTTAGATTGCTTTGTTGATAGAAACTAAATATAAACCAATTAATCTGGCCAAGAAAGAAATGAATTCAAATTTTTATTGAGAGTCAATTCAATTTGGTATGTCTTTTGCACCTTCACCAATACAAAGGCTCCTTTACCATTTAATTTATCCCTAATAGCAGGACTGTTTCAGCACAGGCCATGGGGTCCTCTCCTCACTCTAGCAGAGGGTCCTCCTTCAATGGGGTGAATTGCACAGCCCTCTCTCAAAAAAGACCGGCCACCAGATGATGAAAAAATGGATCTCACCAAGGGTGCTACTGCTGAAGGGAGACTTAGCGGAAAGAGGAGCTAGGGTTTGCTGATGGATTGTGTCCAGTGGAAGAACTGAGGGTTAACTCACATTGAGGGCATATCCCAACATGAAGTTCAGATAATCAGGAATTTTGGATATTTATCTGAATGCAACTTTGAGTTTCACCCATCTCATCACAATGAAGAGAGGAAGCAGGCCTGGAGATGTAGTCTTTACTATGGTAGATGGGGTACTCTGCGTCTACGATGCACTTGTAAGCACAGCAGATCTTAAATTATATGACACATATGTATTTGGAAGACTGATATTTTTGTTTCTTCACCTGATAGGAATAATATTCTCAGACTTACTTATTTGAATCAACTATTTCCAACTGTGTCGCTATATAAACTGAGGCCCAGTGCAGCTGCACAGCACTAGAGTGCCTGTGGAAAATAACCCCAAAGAGGGGTGATCTAGACCAGGGAAGATCATCATGGCATATGGGGATCACAGGCGGTGTAGAGCTACATTACCTGTGTGCAAGTCTTTGTTTCCCTTTTATAGTTGGACACTTAACAGGTTTATGGGTCTGCTACTATCTGTCAAACAGTAGAGGGTCATGCTTTTAGATCCAGAGGTCCCAAATTCAGTCCTTGCAGATGACCCATCCTATGACACTGTTACAAATAATCTACTGTATGGGGATCTCAACTGCTAGGGATCTCTGATGCTCAGGACAAGTTTCCACATTGCAACTTCTAAGTCACCACCTGCCTGCTGCTGGTATAGAGGAGATGGCTGATGTGTTGAATTTTGAAATGACAAAAAACAGGGACAAACTTTCCATGAAAATATTTGCAACCAACTCTATTGGGGAATCCATACACCCCCATAATTCCTAGCTGCTGCATCAGCCCGGTAGGACTGTTGGCAGAATCATAGCTGAGAATCTGGGCCTGAATATTTCCTCACTCTATAAGTTTGAATAATGTAACTAGTATAAATGTGGCATAGAGGGGTTGCTTCAGACATAACTGTGCTCAGTAATCTGAATGCCTTCTTTGTCCATACTGAATTATAAAATGAGATATTAAAAAATAATCTGCTCTATTATTTTAGGAAGTCTTATAAGACAATGTAAACACAAAATTAATAAAAGGAAACCCCCTTTTTCTTCTTTTTATACAAATAATAACAATATAATCATAGCGGAAACCCTCAGCAGGTTAGGATGCAATGTATTTAGCTTAATAAATTAAGAAAAGTAACATTTTTAATAATGCAAGCTCAGCCAAGAAAAGCAGGCAAGCAGGACTAAATTCCTCTTGTTAATACTTCAACATTAGTGAAATATTTTATCTAGTTAGTCACAAAACTTGAGGTACTTAAAGTTGCACCTGTAATAACACTAATTATCCAGTTGATCACAAGAGTTCTCAGCTGATTGATTATGTTCTTCTGTAATGAGAATAGATGATACCTCCCATTACATCTGATTTGCTTGACTTTTGATAAATTATGCCACTTGATCAGCATTATAAAAAAATATTCACATAACTCTGGTGTTTAAAACTATATTTATATAAGCACAGCAGGGAGAATTCTGCATAGAGAAGCCTGTGCTTTTCAAAGTAAAATGTCCATCTGATGGTTTGCCTGGAACATCATTGTCTTCTCCTGGTAATTCTAAAGCATTGTTAGGGGAAGACATATTTTGTAGAAAGAAAAATTCAATAGGGACAGACAGAACTTGTTTTCTAAGGGCTATGGAAAATAAAAAGGCTGTTTTGCAGAGATGGTGTGGTTACATTCCAGAAACTAGAGGGGATTTCCCAGGTATCCCAAAACTAATTGCAGAAATTTTTAGGGGAATTTAACAAAAAAATCTAGGCAGTGAAGAATATTAAAATGTATTTCAGGAAATTCTCAGTATTACAGTTTTTCCTTCATAGATGAACACATTTTCATAAATCTCTACAGCAGCTTGCAGTGTTTCCAGATTGAATCTGTATTAGGTATATTTTCAAGACCCTCAAACACTTTCCCCAGTGTGTCCAAACACAAGTACAGTGGTAGTCCAAGTCCAAACGCAAGTTCAGTAGGAAAGCATCTTGCATAGTGGAGAATCTCCTCTTTACTGATTTTATACAAAACTATGTATGAGAAAGCAACAAACAAAAAACAAGTCCTCGACTGCTGTATCACTGTCTTCCCATTCTCAACACTTATGTCACAATATTCTGTACCTCTCACTTGCACATCTGTGTTTACCTTTCCAAGAGCTATATTCTTCACATATAATATACAATTTCTTCCATTTTGTCATTGATCTGATAAATAAGAAGCTCATATGAAGCAACTTCTGCCTTGTCAACAGATCAGTTTTTACTACCTTCTTAGGCTTATTCTCTTTTCACAACCAAGGGCAATTACAATCAGTTTATTTAAAAAACAACACCTTGTAATCCAATGCGCTGATGAAAAATCAGGTGGAAAATACAATTTTCACTCAGCTAGTGATTTATTATTCCATCTTATTTCTATAACACTTGACTAGATAATTTCTTTTGTTAGATCACCAATTATCATGTGTCAAATTGCCACTCTCATTCCTAGTCTAGCAGCACACATCAAGGTCCAGTATTTGAACAATAAGAAGTAGAATAAGTTCTCCTATTAGTACAGTTTTTAATGGTTAACATTCTATTTTATGTCCACTAGCAGGTCCTACACCACAGTGAAATGCTTTTGAGCATCGTCTATCATTAAAGCAATTAAGCATTTAATTCAAATTTCCATCTCTTTGAGAAATTGAAAATGCATGGATAGAATTAAAGGGACCAAATAACACTGCCTTAAATGTTGAAACTGGATGAGAGAACAAGGCAAGACTGAATATTGGAAGAGCTGTTGGAGATGGTTTAGGTACTTTACGTAAGTAGGCATTAAATTACATCCAATATTGGTTGTTAATTACTTGAGTTTGGTCTGCGCTGCAAAGTTTGGATCTGGATAAGAACTTTCCCAAAGTTCAGGGATGTATGGCCCTGGGGCTTTAGTTCTGGCCCATTTCTATATTACACATATTATTACATATGCAATAGACAACCTATCAGGAATTAAGGTATCTACAGTTAGAAAATCTACAAGCACATTGATAATTAAGGACAGGATCTAACTTCCATTAACATCAATAGAAGGACTCTTATTGACTTTATTGGGAATTGGATCAGGACCTAAAAAGGGGGAGGAAGACGAGAGTGGGGAGGATACGTTCACTTACATCAATGCTAAATTTGACCCTGCATATCTAGAACAGAAGGATATATCTTCTAGTATTCCGAGTAGCAGCCGTGTTAGTCTGTATCCGCAAAAAGAAAAGGAGTACTTGTGGCACCTTAGAGACTAACAAATTTATCTGAGCATAAGCTTTCGTGAGCTACATCCGATGAAGTGAGCTGTAGCTCACGAAAGCTTATGCTCAAATAAATTTGTTAGTCTCTAAGGAGCCACAAGTATTCCTTTTCTTCTAGTATTATTATTCCTTAAACCTTAGTGACACTGGGAGGCATCCTCTAGAGTTTGGTCCATTTCAACATTTCAAAGTTTGTGGACTAAACAAGCACAATTAAACTAACTACTAACATAAATAAGAGAAGAATCTTTCCATATGGTGAAATGTTTCTTTTGACCTAACATTTCTGGTTACGAGACTATATATCAGCTATTTAACAGCTAGTGGAGTAAAATCAGCACAAGCAGATGGAAACATTAGATTCTGGTCTCCACATTTGACAGTTTTGTGGCCAAAAGTTAAAAAAAAAATTTAAACCATTACCTGGGTCTGTAGCAGACATCAACGAGCCAAAAAATAAACAGTCTGTGAAGTGAAAATCCCCTCCTTTTAACTGGCCAACATGTATCATGGCCTTCACAAAGCCATACATTATCAACCTGTCAGAGAAAAGAAAGACAGAGATGCAGACATAGTATTCCACTTTTACTCTCTTCATTTCACAACACTAAATAGTTTCCTGTTTAAACCACTGGGTTGTCTTCTCCAACTTCTTTTAAATACACCTATTGTATGAGTACTGAACACAAACTGTTGCTGTCATATAAGTCGACTTCTGTTTCAGCTGTTGAAATATTGTATCAAAATTGTCTAGACATTTGAAGAACAAAAACCTTTTACTGAATATTAGCAATTTATTCACCTGCTGACGGATGACAATACATTTTAGCCGTTTATTTTACAAAAATAAAATAGAGTCATCTAAAGAAGAGATGATCAAAAGTAATCTGTCAAACATTATAGAGCCTTCACACAAACGTAATGACATGAGTAGCTGTGTTGACTTGTTCTGATGTTCTTAAATGGATTGTTTTCTCAGTTTTGTGTGTGTGTGCGTATGTGGGGGTGTGTGTGTGTGTTTAATGCTTCCAGTACAGACTGAGTTAAAATCTCAGGTTAGTCATCACAATGAGATGGATATTTAAGACTCCCAAGAACAATCAGTCAACAAGTCAGGTTTTAAAATGTGGTGCTACAGTACTGCCAGTTTCACAAAAAAAATTAAGGCCTTGTTTACACTACAGAGTTTTGTCAACAAAAGAGTGAATACATACACTCTGCGATGCAACTTTTGGCGATAAAAATGCCCTGTTTTGGTGACAAAATAAAGCCATCCTGACGAGAGACAAATGCCAGGTAGGGCATATATATTTGTGTAGGTACATAGAATAATCTATATGGTAAAGTCTATGGGCCAGATCCTCAACTTGTAAAGTTGCCATGAAAAATATGGAGTGACTCAATTCATACCAGCTGAGGATCTGGCTCTTTATTTTAAATAAACAGGAAAATGAAAGACCAAAAACATCACTGTTATGTTCACTATGTTTACGTCACCATCTGTGTTTTGGGACATTAATACATTTCAGAAAAACAATGTTATATTTTAGATGATTGTGTCACTGTTTATTGCTTGGTGAACACAATTTATAGGTATCTGAGGGATAGCCATGTTAGTCTGGACCTGTAAAAGCGGCAAACGACGAAGTGGGTATTCACCCACAAAAGCTTATGCTCCAATACATCTGTTAAAGGTGCCACAGGACTATAAGGTGTCTATAAGGTGCCACAGGACTCTTTGCCGCTTTTACAATTTATAGGGTCTGTTGGGATACAGAAAAAGGGCCTGATTTTACTCCGAGTCAATTACAATTTTATCATTTACTTCAGTGGGAGCAGGATCAAGACCAAACTAACCATTTCAGTAAGACAATATAGAGTGAATTAAATTTAAAAACACTTTGACTTTCATCTCTCATTTAGAATTAGCATATTTTAATAAAGGTCACATCTTAATGAAGGTCATTTCTTAATAGAGATACCATAAGAAATGTAAAAAACTATAATAGTTGGCTATAGACATTTTAAATAACATTTAAATAAAACTAGTTCTATTCTATTTCATTTCGGGTTTTCTAGCCAGCTCAACAGGCAGTGTTCCTGTCATATTCTCTGCCTTTAAAATGTTAAAATGCCCTCTAGATATACAAAATAATCCAAAAACCTACATGGGCAAATTCTCATCTGGTGTAAATTGTCATCAGTGGAGCTATGACCATTCACACCAGCAGAAGATCTGCCCCCAGGAAATAATTTATACATTTTCAGCACAATATAAAATAGATTTATACAAATAACATTTGAAAATAGAAGTACACACACGTGAATGCACGTAAATTTATTTCTCTGGAAATATGACAGGCTGAATATGTTATTTGTTTAGTTTGTTTTATTTACATTTGAAATGACATTGTATTTATTATACTGCATAGTGAACCAGATTCTAATCTCAGTTACACAAACATATACCCATGGTAGTTCCACTTAAATCAGATGCAGTTGATGAACAAGAATACACTTGACAGATTCTGAAGTCAGAGTAAACCCAGAATAATTCCACTCAAAATCTTTGGAGTTACTCCAGGTTTACATTAGTGTAACTGAGACCAGAATCTGTCCCTCTGTTTTCTTGCTCATCAATTCTTCTTAGCTGAAAATGTCAGCCTATCTATATCATTTTATACAGTCAGTTACATGTAGAGGTTATTATGTGAAAACCATTGATTGTCCCAAGCCAACAGCGGACACTTCGCAAGGATGCAATTTATCTCTGAGCAATGTTGATAATAGATTTCTTGAAATTATTAATGAGGTAGTACAAACACTTCCATTCCACAACAAAGAACGTATTTGGAAGCTGGATCTGGCTGGATAGCTGAGCTCCCAACCACAGTGATATCATACAGTACTGCACACCAGGAGTGCTTTTAATGGAGATCCAGTGAGGAAAGCACACCTTTGCGACAGCTTGCCATTAATCCCAGGAAATGGCCTGCACTGAGGTTGCTATTGCTTTTATAAGGTGAAAGGGGTTGGGGTGTGAGGAGAAGGCCTTATTGTGCTAGGCACAGTACAAACACCAAAGAAAAAGATGGTCCCTGCCCCAAAGAGCACAAAACCTAGGTATAAGAGAAAAGACAACAGGCAGACAGAGACAGACCAATGGGAGAGTACAAGGAAACAATGATACAATACTGGTTAGCATGATAGGCAGTGACAACCATGCAGCAGCTACCTAATCATTGCCAAGTTTTTTAAAGGCAACCTGGTAAAGGATAGTTTTAAGGAGGAACTGGAAGGAGGATCCTGAGGTAGCTTTGAGGATGTTTATGGGGAGAATCTCCCAAGTGTGAGGGGAAGCTGGGAGAAAGCATGAAGGCTCTTATTTGAAACTTTAACAAGTGGGCAATGGAAGCTGACATCATGGGCTGAGCAGAAGCAGTCGATAATGAATGAGAGGGGATAGGTAGGGTGGGGATTGACAGTGAAGGGCCTTGAAAGCGAAGACAAGCAGCTTATGTTTGATACAATAGAGAAGGGGAAGCCAGTGGTGGGATCCAAAGAGAGGGGTGACATGGTCAAAGCAACGGTCTAAGTGAATGATCCTTGCAGCAGCATTCTGAAGGATATGAACAGGGCAAGACTGCATTTGTCAAAGCCAGAGAAAAGGATTCTGCAGTTATCGAGATGATGAGAGCTGTGCGGATGGATAGGAAAGGCCATATCTTAGAGACGTTATACAGAAAGAATCAGCAAGCTTTAGACATAGCCTGGATGTGAGAACCTAGAGAGAGTTCTTAGGTGAAGATGATGCCCATGTTACAGGCCTGAGTGATAGGCAGTGACAAGTCACACTGCACACAGGGGAGAGTTGGGGGGGCATCGGGGTCCAGGTGCTCAATATTATGATGCACTTGCTTTGCTTCTCCTTCAACATCAGTCACTTTCTGAGAGACCTGCTTTTCAATCAGATTTCTTGCTCATCAGAACACTATTGTGTTGGAAAATTTTTGACTAGCTTCACTTCTATGATTGGGGCCCTTTAGACGTGACCATAATATAAACAAATTATCTAGCATAATAATTCTGCTAAAACCATGCTGGAAAAGAGCCTTACAACCTGTCAGTCTAGCTCCCCTGAATTCTCAGAAGAAGAGAACTAATAAGCTTATCTCTTGACTTAACTACTGCCTCAATCAAGAAATGTTTTGGTTCTCATTTCTCCTATTTATTAGGTACCTTACCCGCTCTGCTCTACGATCAGGTTTGCAGTGTATCCTGTACTGAAATGTTTCCCTCCATTTCCTTTTATAACTGTTTTAGCAGTGTGCAGATAGTGGAATACACATTGAAAATCAGCAGAATTTTTGTGGGGCCACTAGATAGCAGGATGTTTTGGATTGTTGAGTTTTGTTTAATATTTGAACCATTTCACTGAAGAAAAAATTGTGTTACATTCTTTTTTCTTTTTTAGGGCAAAAATTTCCGTTAAAAATCTTACCAGTGACATAGTGATTCAAACCATACTTAATTTTTGTGATTGTACTCTATTTCACTCTTGATCTTAATGTGATTAGCTATGTTCCTTTGCCTAAAAGCAAATTTATAATATTAAAGAAAAATGGATATCTGTGCACATATTCCTAAGCCTATTGTACTAAATATTTTAGTGGGGTTTTACCCCTAACCAGCTGCAGACATTTAGAGGGTTGATTTTCAAAGTCAAAGGCAGTTAGGCACTTGATTCCCATTGGGAGTCAATGGAAGTTGAATGCCTAATTTCTGGTTTTGCCTTTGAAAATCTCACTTATTATTTGTTTTAATTTAATTATTTATAGGGTGTCCATCACCATAGTATCCTGGCTCTAAATGAAGTGCAATGCATTAGTCTGGACAGAAGATGAGAAAGGTGTGGATGTCTCAACACAAAACATCTTACCATTGCTTACTGCTGCTGAAGAATTTTGCTTCTACATGTGAATCCAAGAGCAGTTAGGGGTCCAGAAGGACCCCTGAGATTGCAAACCTCTGCAGAAAGGCAGAGGAAAATAATTAGCAATGGTGGAGGTGTGGTCTCCATTAAAGAGTAGATCACAACACATCAGATGATCTAGGTGTTCTTCCTGCTGCCATCGTCACCTCGGGCTTCTCTGGATTAAGCCTTAGACAGCTCACTCTCATCCAAGTTTCTGTCTCAGACAGGTGGTTGGAAAGCAAAGAAACTGCCCCCAAACTGCGCTGTCTGATTCGAATGAAAGAGAAAGACAGAAATGTCAGCAAACGTACTGATGGCATTGTGGCTCAGAAAGTCTCAGTAGTGGCCTCACATACACACTGAACTAGAGGGTGAAAAAATGGAAGCCTGAGAGACCTCATGGAAGAGTGAGGGAGGAAGGGGGACATGAGAAATTACCCAACACGGCCCTCTCAGTGGAGCAGATGCTTCACACGGTACAGACGTTACAAAAGAAATATCAGCATTTCTGCCCTGTCACATTTTTAAATACAGCCTCTGGAGGGATTGCAGTTCTCGCTGACA